TACCCCAATAATACGAATGTTGGGCCTCTTGAAGTTGTCCCAGAAGCTCCTTATACTATTTTCATATTTCTGGATTTTTTCTTTTTGTTTTTCTGGTTAGGTGTTANTGCATGGCATGTTTGACTTCTGAGGCATGTTTGAAAACCGAAGCATTTCCCAGTTTGCAGCGTTCATACACCGAAATGTTAGTCAAAGGGATGTTCGAAAACCGAGGTACTGCTGTAATACAAGTTCCTGTGTTGGTTAATTTTAATGGAAATGTAAAGGGCCAGGAATAGCTGATAATAGACCCTTTCTCTCAAAATCTTATGAAAATAACAAAGTCCTTTTTACTTTTTGCTAAGTGGTATTAATCACTGATCATCAATTTTCATATTAACACAATTCCAACTTATATATTTATACTGTACTGCTTAGCCAGGCTTAATTTTTTTAAAGACACTATCTTTACAAAGAAAATAATTCATATTAACCAATCATGCCCTACAAGCATAAACAGAAATGATATTAAGTATTGATTAAAACAAAAAGCACTTAAAAACCCCAACATGAATTCTTACCAACTCCAGAGGTTATTGACTCTGCATCAATGTCGCCAGCTCTTTTTCTTGCCACTTGAGCTAGTGCCAGTTCACCCCTATCTAGTGCAAGGTAATGGATGTCCTTTGGAAAGAGAGCAAAATGAAAGATTAACTCAAAATGAATGTTGGTCAAGTTACAAAGGAGATTTTGAAAGAACTTACTGTTCAGATGACAAAGCAGACATAGCCTATGAATATTCTTTTTTGTATTTTAATTTGCTGTTTTCTGTTTTCCAGTATAAGCACATTTTCTTGAAATGGAGATTATAGCTATAATTAATAGCTATTACTTAAACAAGCTATTTGAAGTCTTTAAGGGAAAAGACAAGTTTTTAAATCAAATGTTTGACATACTCAGTTTTATCAGAGAAGAAAAATCTCAGAGAGCTTCTTCAAAATTCAGTTGTTTGGAGTACTAGTATCAAATTTGTCTCTTATATTTATGTGTATGGCACAAATTACTTTAATATTATTACTACTACTATTATTTTGAACCCATTCACCCAAATCATTGCCTACTAAGTGCCAGCGGTTTCGGGAGTATAGAGCTCAATTACAATACCATTTTTCAAGAAGCTTTGAGCCCAATGGGGAGACAGACCACTGTAAACAACAGTTAATTATATAATAGTGTGACAGGTTTTATGGCAGATATTTGCACAGAGTGCTATGGAGCAAAGAGGAGGAACTAATTCTTGATCTGAGTCTTGAAGGAAAAATAAGAGTTATGCTAGGCAATGGCAAGTCTTTTAATATGAAAGGAACAATAGATGTGTGGGAGAAATCAGTGGAAAATAATACTCAACAAGTGGGTAGAGCCACTAAAAAGGACTTAAAACTCTTTTTGTACACAATGATTATTGGAATGATAATTTTACTACAATAAAAACGGAAAAAGAATATGCCAGCAGTCAGTTTACAATGAAGAAATAGCCTATAATCATGAAAAATTATTTCACTTCATTAATGCTCAAATACAAATTGAAAAAATGTAATTTCGAATTAAACTTTAAAGATAATATTTACTGGTTGCAAGGTTTGTGGGGAGATAGGCACTTAAATTACTGGGAATATAAGAATATATGCAGCAGGGGTTCATAAACTATGGCCTATGGGCTAAATATAGCCTGCCTTTTGTACAGTCCTTAAGAATGAATGATGTTTACATTTTTATTTATTTTTAATATATATATTTGATTTCAGAGAGAGAGGAAGAGAGAGAGAGGGAGATAGAAACATCAATGATGAGAGTCATTGTTTGGCTGCCTCCTGCACATTCCCTGCTGGGGATCGAGCCTGAAACCTGGGCATGTGCCCTGACCAGGAAACTAACCTCGATCTCTTGGATCATAGGTTCATGCTCAACCACTGAGCCACGTTGGCTGGGCTGATGTTTACATTTTTAAATGGTTGAAGAACTGTGTGCTTATTTAACTTTGAATGGCTTTTGAATTAGCTTATGCTGTGGACTTGAAAATGTTTCAACCTAAAACTATACGGCAAAACTACTTATATGTGAAACTTATACTGTGATAAAATTATTTCAATGAGAACTAACATTGTTTGGCTTACAAGGCTATTACACATTTCCTGCACTGGCAAAAGTTAAAAAAGAAGTGAGATCTCCATTTCTACACAATTCCCAGCAGCATATTTTCTGATTTTAATCCACAGCAGAGTATCTCAATCTTGATACAAGTGCAAAGAAATTTCCATATTCCAAAGTCTATTTAACAGTGTAATTGAGGAACTTTAATTGGAAGTGATTAATTTGCAATGTAATGACATGCTAAAAGGCAGGCTAGTCTTTTAGCTAATAGAATTCTAAAAATGACTTCTCATAGAATAATATCACTGTACAGCCGTAACTATCTTTGAGGAAAGAGATTTGCAAAGATGAAATATGTAAAATCTCATCATAGATCAGCATTAATAGATGAACATTTGCAATAGGTTTTGTAAAATAGGAACACTAACTTTCAACCCTAACTGAAATGTTATCCCCACCAAATTCCATTATTCACATTCATAGACCTGTCTTAAAAACATTATACTCAATTATTATAGATTAATGTCATCAGTAAAGATTTATAGAAATTAATTTTCTTTCTTGTTATATACACATACCTTGGTAATAACTTCAATTTTTCCTCTTATCCCATAAGCCTGCAATATTTGCTATCTGGCCTTTTATAGAAAAAGATTGCTGATGCCACATTTTAACAACATATCAGAATTTAAAATTTGCACACATATACTTTTGGGAAATCTTCCTAAGGAAATGATGTGGCACTGCATGTCCAAGATTGGTGATGATAGCATAACTTATAACAATGAAAAATTGGAAGCAGTGTAAATATACATTAATTAAAATCACATGTTTTTTCTTTTAATAGAGTATCATGATACTTTCATAATAGGTCCCTATAGTCAATGAAGAAATTAGTAATAATTAAGAAATATATGCTACTGTATTCAGTTTGCTAGTATTTTAAGACTTTCGCATCTATGTTCATAATTAAGAAAAGTCTATGACTTTACTTGGGTTTCACTGCCAACAATCCCTTGACTGCTATCAAGGTTATACTACACTTATAAAATAAATTAGGTGCCTTTTTTCTGTTTTTCTCATTGGCAATATTTCTATGCGATTCTTCACTGAAAATAAGCAAAAGATATTCAGTACATTTGAGAATTACCAACCAGTAGTGAGTGACATAAACATCTGATTAAAATACAAACTTTAAACTTTATGGCTGGAAAAATTATATGTAATTATGATATCAATTCTGACCCCAATTAATTTGTAAAAATTGGTGGAATTCCATTCAAAATCCCTTCAAGGTTTTTATGGGACTTACAAGTAGATCTTAAAATTCATATGTAAAGACAAAGTCAAGACTATCTAAGACTTATTCTAGTTAACATTAAGATTATATAACACTGGTATATAGATATATAAACCAAAGAAAAAGAAATAGAACCATACAAATATGGTTTTCTCTGTGAGTTACTCATGCTACTACTTTGTGTTTAGCAGTGATGTAAATGTTGGCTGTAAGATCTGTGGTCCACAAATTATTTCTGGAACATTTTCTCTGTCTCTCTCACTCTGGCATTTTTTCTCAATTCTGTGATTACTCCTCTTTATTATTTAATTGTTATTAGGAATTGGGGTCATTAATTTGAAGAAGGTAAGTCTTAACGCCTCTTAAGTTTATATTATATCCATACCATGAAGGTTTTAATTTCTTGACCTTTCTGTTTGGAACACACTATACAGTCTGTTTACTTGCTGATATACTTGTGGGCCTCCTGACTATTCATATATAGGCATACCTTGGAAATATTGAGGATTTGGTTGAAGCAAGTATTGCAATAAAGCAAGTCACACAAAATTTGGTTTCCCAGTGCATATAAGTTATGTTTATACTATACTGTAATCTAGTAAGTATACAGTAGCATTATGTCTAAAAAACATATATACCTTAGTTAAAAAATACTTTATTGCTAAAAATGCTAATCATCATTCGAGTCTCCACACGTAATAATCAACTTCTTTCAAACTTCTGTTAAGGTAGATATTTTGACAGATGAATCACGAATGTTCTTAATGGCATCTAAAACAGTGAATCATTTCCACAGGTTTTCAATTTACTTTGCCCAAATACATATGAGGAATCACTATCACAGCTATAGTCTTACAAAATGAATTTCTTAAAGAATAAGATTTGAAAATCAAATTTGCTTCTTGGTTCATGGACTAGAGAATAGATGGTGTGTTAGCAGGTATGAAAACAACATTAATCTTGTACATTCCATCAGAGCTCTTGGGTGACAAGGTGAATTGTCAATGAGCAGTAAGATTTTGAAAGGAATCTTTTTCCTGAGCAGTAGGTCTCAAGAGTGGGTTTAAAGTATTCAGTAAGCCATGCTATAAACATATGTGCTGTCACCCAGGCTTTATTTTTCTGCACAGGCAAAACAGATTCAGCATAATTTGTAAGAAGCCTAGGATTTCTGGAATGGTAAATGAGCACTGGCTTCAACTTAGTCACCAGCCACATTAGCCTCTAACAAGCAAGTCAGCCTATCCTTTGAAGCCAGACATTGACTTCTGCTCTTTAGCTATTTAAGTCCTAGATGGCATCTTCTTCCAATATAAGGCTGTTTTGTCTACATTGAATATGTCATTAACTGTAGCCATCACCATTAATTATCTTAAGATTTTTCTGGATAACCTGCTGCAGCTTCTACATCAGCACTTACTGCTTCACCTTTATGTTATGGAGATGGTTTCTTTCCTTCATGAACCAACTTCTGCTAGTTAAAAACTTTCTTCTGCAGCTTCCTCATCTCTCTCAGTCTTCACAGAATTGAAGGGAGTTAGGGCCTTGCTCTGGATTTGGCTTTGGCTTAAGGGAATGTTGCGGCTGATTTGATTTTATATCAAGACCACTAAAACTTTATATCAGCAATAAGGCTGTTTTTCTTATCATTCATGTGTTCACTGGAGTAGCACTTTAATTTCCTTTAAGAACAGACAATAGCATGGAAAGGCTCTGGGGATGGATGGGAAGGGGGCAAAAAGGGAGAAAACGGGAGACATCTGTAATATTGTCAACAATAAAATAAAATTTTTAAAAAAAGAAAAACTTCTCCTTTGCATTCACTGTTTGGCTAATGTTTGATGCAAGAGACCTAGTTTTCAGCCTGTCTTGGCTTTTGATATGCCTTCCTCACTAACCTTAATCATTTCTAGCTTCTGATTTAAAGTTAAAGATGTGCAACTCTTCCTTTCACTTGAACACCTAGAGGCCATTGTAGGGTTACTCACTGGCCTAATTTCAGTGTGTATCAGGAAATACAGAGGCCTTAGGAAAGGGAGAAAGATGAGGTAACCTCCAATTGGTGGGTGGTTAGAATATACACTACATTTATTAAGTTTGCTATCATATATGGGTACTGTTCATGGTGCCCCAAAACAATTACAATGGCTACATCAAAGATTGCACTGTAATTGAAAAAACCATTTTTTTAATAAAAATAAATAAAATCAGTAAACTCACAAAAAAGATCCCT